GGGGGGGGGGGCTGGGGGGCCCTTTCCGTCCACAGGGGCACAGGATGGTGCCCAACCAACTGAGCCACCCGGGCCAGGGCAGGAAGGGCTTTTGGAGAGGACAGGTCCGTGCCATCTCGGCAGAAGCAAACAACAGACGAGTTATTCAGGGACGACTGGGGACGACCCTCCTTTCTCATGACGTCCCTGGGAGACCCACAAGGTTCCCGAGCCCGTTATGTCAGCAGAAACACTGCCCACCTAGACGGGGAAAGGCGAGATGAAAGAAGGCTGCCCGACCCTCAGCCTTCTGCAGGCAGGAGACAGGCCGACAACGCCAGGCCTGCGACCCTCCAGGAAAAAGGAAGGAAAACTCAGGGAGGAGCCAGGGCCCAGGGGGCAGAATTCCTAGCATAACCTTCAGCCTTGGAGGGTAATTCCTAGGCCTGGAAACCTTACTGGCTGCTCCTTGGATCTCAAAGTAGCTTCGGACTGGGGCCTGCGGTTCCTTCCAGGTTCTCCCTTTGTGACGGGGAATTGGGTCTGTCACACACCCACTGGATGTGGGGATTAGATCACTTGCTTTCTAAGTGCACAGAAGGAAAGGAATTTTGCCTGGGGATGAATCTGCAAGGCGCCTCACCCACAGCTGATTTACATTATTTAGGTGATGAGATTTGGGATTTTCGAGCTACTGAGATTTATTTTATTTTTTATCTTAAAAATGTGTCTTTATTGATTTCAGAGAGAGGGAGGGAGAGGGAGACAGAAATGTCGTTGGTCGGCTGCCTCCTGCAGGCCCACCTACTGGGGATCGAGCCCACAAACCGGGCACGTGACCTGCACCAGGGATCGAACCTTGATTTCCTGGATCCTAGGTTGGTGCTCAACCTCTGAGCTGCTGAGATTTAGATGAGATTTAGAATAAATGTATTTTGCATACTCGATGGATGTGAATCTTTGGGGGCCAGAGGAGGCAGCCGATCAATGATTCTCTCCCAACATTGATGCTTCTATCTCTCCCTCTCCCTTCCTCTCTTTGAAATCAATAAAAACATACTTAAAAAAAAAAAAAAAGATTAAGGTGGTAAACTTATGTTAGGTGCATTTCACCACACTTTAAAAAACAAACAAAACTACTTCCTCACAAAGGAAACTCCTGGTCCTAATGGCTTCACTGGTGAACTCTATTGAGTTTCTAAAGGAAAAATCACAGCGATCTTGCATAAGCAGGGCTTCTTCCAGGAATGTAATTTTGGTTTAATTATTCAAAAAATCAGTATAGCCCGGCCGGGCGTGGCTCAGCGGTTGAGCATCGACCTAGGATCCAGGTGATCTGGGTTCGATTCCCGGTCAAGGCACCTGCCCAGGTTGCGGGCTCGATCCCCAGTCGGGGTTGTTCAGGAGGCAGCCGATCAATGACTCTCTCCTCATTGATGTTTCTATCTCTCTCTCTCTCCCTCTCCTTTCCTCTCTCTGAAATCAATAAAGACATATAAAAAAATAAAATAAAATAATTTAAAAATAATAATAAAAATAAATCGGTATAACTCACTGTATTAACAGAAGAACCGTATGATCACCTTCTATGCAGAAAATATAAAATTCGGGGGAAAATTAATGCAAAAAATGCAACAACAAAAAGCCAAAACATTGGACAAAATTCAACACCCGTTCATGACATAACTCTGCAAACTAGGACTATAAGGAATTTCTTCAACCTGATCGAGAGCATCTATCAACCCGAAAGCTTCCGCACCTAACAGCCAAAGCTGAACACTCCCCGGGATCGGCGATAAGGCGAGATGTGTGCTTCGCCCTCGCCTCTGCTCAGCCCTGACTGGAAAGGAAGATGCATGTGGAAGTATGTAGGAAACGCGAAGGAACCTAAAAACAAAACTAAAAAACACAACTAGAATTAGATACGTGAACTTACCCAGCAGGCGGGATGCAAGACCAATACACAAAAACCAACTGCGTTTCCACGTAGTAGCAACAGGCCGGTGGGAAATGAAATTAAGAACAAAGCACTTTCCCGTTTGTCCGACCCCGTAGGATGTA